CAAATGTATACCTGTGCCAAATGTATACCTGTGCCAAATGTATAACTGTGCCAAATGTATAACTGTGCCAAATGTATACCTGTGCCAAATGTATACCTGTGCCAAATGTATACCTGTGCCAAATGTATAACTGTGCCAAATGTATACCTGTGCCAAATGTATACCTGTGCCAAATGTATACCTGTGCCAAATGTATACCTGTGCCAAATGTATAACTGTGCCAAATGTATACCTGTGCCAAATGTATACCTGTGCCAAATGTATACCTGTGCCAATCAGGACAGGGACAACAGGGAGGCTGGTATCACCGAGCCGTAGCTGGTGTCACCGAGCCACAGCTGGGATCACCGAGCCACAGCTGGTATCACCGAGCCGTAGCTGGTATCACCGAGCCGTAGCTGGTATCACCGAGCCGTAGCTGGTATCACCGAGCCGTAGCTGGTGTCACCGAGCCGTAGCTGGTGTCAGTGAGCCGTAGCTGGTATCACCGAGCCACAGCTGGGATCACCGAGCCATAGCTGGTATCACCGAGCCGTAGCTGGTATCACCGAGCCGTAGCTGGTATCACCGAGCCGTAGCTGGTGTCACCGAGCCGTAGCTGGTGTCACCGAGCCGTAGCTGGTGTCACCGAGCCATAGCTGGTATCATCGAGCCACAGCTGGTGTCACCGAGCCGTAGCTGGTATCACCGAGCCGTAGCTGGTGTCACCGAGCCACAGCTGGTGTCAGTGAGCCGTAGCTGGTATCACCGAGCCATAGCTGGTATCATAGAGCCACAGCTGGTGTCACCGAGCCGTAGCTGGTATCACCGGGCCACAGCTGGTATCACCGGGCCACAGCTGGTATCACCGGGCCACAGCTGGTGTCACCGAGCCGTAGCTGGTGTCACCGAGCCATAGCTGGTGTCACCGAGCCATAGCTGGTATCACCGAGCCGTAGCTGGTGTCACCGAGCCGTAGCTGGTATCACTGAGCCACAGCTGGTATCACCGAGCCGTAGCTGGTGTCACCGAGCCATAGCTTGTGTCACCGAGCCGTAGCTGGTGTCAGTGAGCCGTAGCTGGTATCACCGAGCCATAGCTGGTATCACCAAGCCATAGCTGGTATCACCGAGCCGTAGCTGGTATCACCGAGCCGTAGCTGGTGCCACCGAGCCATAGCTGGTGTCACCGAGCCATAGCTGGTGTCACCGAGCCATAGCTGGTATCACCGAGCCGTAGCTGGTATCACCGAGCCGTAGCTGGTGTCACCGAGCCGTAGCTGGTGTCACCGAGCCGTAGCTGGTGTCACCGAGCCATAGCTGGTGTCACCGAGCCGTAGCTGGTGTCACCGAGCCATAGCTGGTATCATCGAGCCACAGCTGGTGTCACCGAGCCGTAGCTGGTATCACCGAGCCACAGCTGGTGTCACCGAGCCGTAGCTGGTATCACCGAGCCACAGCTGGTGTCACCGAGCCGCAGCTGGTGTCACCGAGCCGTAGCTGGTATCACCGAGCCACAGCTGGTGTCAACGAGCCGCAGCTGGTGTCAACGAGCCGTCTGTAACGTCTGTAACGTCTGTAGCGTCTGTACTGTCTGTAACTTCTGTAACGTCTGTAACGTCTGTAACGTCTGTAACGTCTGTAACGTCTGTACCGTCTGTAACGTCTGTACCGTCTGTAACGTCTGTACTGTCTGTAACGTCTGTAACGTCTGTAACGTCTGTAACGTCTGTACCGTCTGTAACGTCTGTAACGTCTGTAACGTCTGTACCGTCTGTAACGTCTGTAACGTCTGTAACGTCTGTAACGTCTGTACTGTCTGTAACGTCTGTAACGTCTGTAACTTCTGTAACGTCTGTAACGTCTGTACCGTCTGTAACGTCTGTACCGTCTGTAACGTCTGTACTGTCTGTAACGTCTGTAACGTCTGTAACGTCTGTAACGTCTGTACCGTCTGTAACGTCTGTAACGTCTGTAACGTCTGTACCGTCTGTAACGTCTGTAACGTCTGTAACGTCTGTAACGTCTGTACTGTCTGTAACGTCTGTACTGTCTGTAACGTCTGTACTGTCTGTAACGTCTGTAACGTCTGTAACGTCAGTAACGTCTGTAACGTCTGTACTGTCTGTAACGTCTGTACCGTCTGTAACGTCTGTAACGTCTGTAACGTCTGTAACGTCTGTAACGTCAGTAACGTCTGTAACGTCTGTAACGTCTGTACCGTCTGTAACGTCTGTAACGTCAGTAACGTCTGTAACGTCTGTAACGTCTGTACCGTCTGTAACGTCTGTACCGTCTGTAACGTCTGTACCGTCTGTAACGTCTGTAACGTCTGTAACGTCTGTACCGTCTGTAACGTCTGTACTGTCTGTAACGTCTGTAACGTCTGTAACGTCTGTAACGTCTGTAACGTCTGTAACGTCTGTACTGTCTGTAACGTCTGTAACGTCTGTAACGTCTGTAACGTTTGTAACGTCTGTACCGTCTGTAACGTCTGTACCGTCTGTAACGTCTGTACTGTCTGTAACGTCTGTAACGTCTGTAACGTCTGTAACGTCTGTAACGTCTGTACGGTCTGTACCGTCTGTAACGTCTGTACTGTCTGTAACGTCTGTACCGTCTGTAACGTCTGTAACGTCTGTAACGTCTGTACCGTCTGTAACGTCTGTAACGTCTGTAACGTCAGTAACGTCTGTAACGTCTAACGTCTGTAACGTCTGTACTGTCTGTAACGTCTGTAACGTCTGTAACGTCTGTACCATCTGTAACGTCTGTAACGTCTGTAACGTCTGTAACGTCTGTAACGTCTGTAACGTCTGTAACGTCAGTAACGTCTGTAACGTCTGTACCGTCTGTAACGTCTGTACTGTCTGTAACGTCTGTAACGTCTGTAACGTCTGTAACGTCTGTAACGTCTGTAGCGTCTGTAACGTCTGTAACGTCTGTAACGTCTGTAACGTCTGTAACGTCAGTAACGTCTGTACCGTCTGTAACGTCTGTAACGTCTGTAACGTCTGTAACGTCTGTAACGTCAGTAACGTCTGTAACGTCTGTACCGTCTGTAACGTCTGTACTGTCTGTAACGTCTGTAACGTCAGTAACGTCTGTAACGTCTGTAACGTCTGTACTGTCTGTAACGTCTGTAACGTCTGTACGGTCTGTACCGTCTGTAACGTCTGTACTGTCTGTAACGTCTGTACCGTCTGTAACGTCTGTACCATCTGTAACGTCTGTAACGTCTGTAACGTCAGTAACGTCTGTAACGTCTGTACTGTCTGTAACGTCTGTAACGTCTGTAACGTCTGTACCATCTGTAACGTCTGTAACGTCAGTAACGTCTGTAACGTCTGTACTGTCTGTAACGTCTGTAACGTCTGTAACGTCTGTACCATCTGTAACGTCTGTAACGTCTGTAACGTCAGTAACGTCTGTAACGTCTGTACTGTCTGTAACGTCTGTAACGTCTGTAACGTCTGTAACGTCTGTACCATCTGTAACGTCTGTAACGTCAGTAACGTCTGTAACGTCTGTACTGTCTGTAACGTCTGTAACGTCTGTAACGTCTGTACCATCTGTAACGTCTGTAACGTCTGTAACGTCAGTAACGTCTGTAACGTCTGTACTGTCTGTAACGTCTGTAACGTCTGTAACGTCTGTACCATCTGTAACGTCTGTAACGTCAGTAACGTCTGTAACGTCTGTAACGTCTGTAACGTCTGTAACGTCTGTAACGTCTGTAACGTCTGTACTGTCTGTAACGTCTGTACCGTCTGTAACGTCTGTAACGTCTGTAACGTCTGTAACGTCTGTACTGTCTGTAACGTCAGTAACGTCTGTAACGTCTGTAACGTCAGTAACGTCTGTACCGTCTGTAACGTCAGTAACGTCTGTAACGTCTGTACTGTCTGTAACGTCTGTACCGTCTGTACCGTCTGTAACGTCTGTACTGTCTGTAACGTCTGTAACGTCTGTAACGTCTGTAACGTCTGTAACGTCTGTAACGTCTGTACTGTCTGTAACGTCTGTAACGTCTGTAACGTCTGTAACGTTTGTAACGTCTGTACCGTCTGTAACGTCTGTACTGTCTGTAACGTCTGTAACGTCTGTAACGTCTGTAACGTCTGTACGGTCTGTACCGTCTGTAACGTCTGTACTGTCTGTAACGTCTGTACCGTCTGTAACGTCTGTAACGTCTGTAACTTCTGTACCGTCTGTAACGTCTGTAACGTCTGTAACGTCAGTAACGTCTGTAACGTCTGTAACGTCTGTAACGTCTGTAACGTCTGTACTGTCTGTAACGTCTGTAACGTCTGTAACGTCTGTACCATCTGTAACGTCTGTAACGTCTGTAACGTCTGTAACGTCTGTAACGTCTGTAACGTCTGTAACGTCAGTAACGTCTGTAACGTCTGTACCGTCTGTAACGTCTGTACTGTCTGTAACGTCTGTAACGTCTGTAACGTCTGTAACGTCTGTAACGTCTGTAGCGTCTGTAGCGTCTGTAACGTCTGTAACGTCTGTAACGTCTGTAACGTCTGTAACGTCAGTAACGTCTGTACCGTCTGTAACGTCTGTAACGTCTGTAACGTCTGTAACGTCTGTAACGTCTGTAACGTCAGTAACGTCTGTACCGTCTGTAACGTCTGTACTGTCTGTAACGTCTGTAACGTCAGTAACGTCTGTAACGTCTGTAACGTCTGTACTGTCTGTAACGTCTGTAACGTCTGTACGGTCTGTACCGTCTGTAACGTCTGTACTGTCTGTAACGTCTGTACCGTCTGTACCGTCTGTAACGTCTGTAACGTCTGTAACGTCTGTACCATCTGTAACGTCTGTAACGTCTGTAACGTCAGTAACGTCTGTAACGTCTGTACTGTCTGTAACGTCTGTAACGTCTGTAACGTCTGTACCATCTGTAACGTCTGTAACGTCAGTAACGTCTGTAACGTCTGTAACGTCTGTAACGTCTGTAACGTCTGTAACGTCTGTAACGTCTGTAACGTCTGTAACGTCAGTAACGTCTGTAACGTCTGTACTGTCTGTAACGTCTGTACCGTCTGTAACGTCTGTAACGTCTGTAACGTCTGTAACGTCTGTACTGTCTGTAACGTCAGTAACGTCTGTAACGTCTGTAACGTCAGTAACGTCTGTACCGTCTGTAACGTCAGTAACGTCTGTAACGTCTGTACTGTCTGTAACGTCTGTACCGTCTGTACCGTCTGTAACGTCTGTACCGTCTGTAACGTCTGTACTGTCTGTAACGTCTGTACCGTCTGTAACGTCAGTAACGTCTGTACCGTCTGTAACGTCAGTAACGTCTGTAACGTCTGTAACGTCAGTAACGTCTGTAACGTCTGTACTGTCTGTAACGTCTGTACCGTCTGTACTGTCTGTAACGTCAGTAACGTCTGTAACGTCTGTAACGTCTGTAACGTCTGTAACGTCTGTACTGTCTGTAACGTCTGTAACGTCTGTACTGTCTGTAACGTCTGTAACGTCTGTAACGTCAGTAACGTCTGTAACGTCTGTACTGTCTGTAACGTCTGTAACGTCTGTAACGTCTGTACCGTCTGTACTGTCTGTAACGTCTGTAACGTCAGTAACGTCTGTAACGTCTGTAACGTCTTTAACGTCTGTAACGTCTGTACTGTCTGTAACGTCTGTAACGTCAGTAACGTCTGTAACGTCTGTAACGTCAGTAACGTCTGTAACGTCTGTAACGTCTGTAACGTCTGTACTGTCTGTAACGTCTGTAACGTCTGTAACGTCTGTAACGTCTGTAACGTCTAACGTCAGTAACGTCAGTAACGTCTGTAACGTCAGTAACGTCAGTAACGTCAGAGCAGCGAAGGTTCATCTCTTCATATCTGGATTATAGTCTGTAAATGTTTCTCTTCATATCTGGATTATAGTCTGTAAATGTTTCTCTTCATATCTGGATTATAGTGTGTAAATGTTTCTCTTCATATCTGGATTATAGTCTGTAAATGTTTCTCTTCATATCTGGATTATAGTCTGTAAATGTTTCTCTTCATATCTGGATTATAGTGTGTAAATGTTTCTCTTCATATCTGGATTATAGTCTGTAAATGTTTCTCTTCATATCTGGATTATAGTGTGTAAATGTTTCTCTTCATATCTGGATTATAGTCTGTAAATGTTTCTCTTCATATCTGGATTATAGTGTGTAAATGTTTCTCTTCATATCTGGATTATAGTCTGTAAATGTTTCTCTTCATATCTGGATTATAGTTTGTAAATGTTTCTCTTCATCTCTGGACTATAGTCTGTAAATGTTTCTCTTCATATCTGGATTATAGTCTGTAAATGTTTCTCTTCATATCTGGATTATAGTGTGTAAATGTTTCTCTTCATCTCTGGATTATAGTCTGTAAATGTTTCTCTTCATCTCTGGACTATAGTGTGTAAATGTTTCTCTTCATATCTGGATTATAGTCTGTAAATGTTTCTCTTCATATCTGGATTATAGTCTGTAAATGTTTCTCTTCATCTCTGGATTATAGTGTGTAAATGTTTCTCTTCATATCTGGATTATAGTCTGTAAATGTTTCTCTTCATATCTGGATTATAGTCTGTAAATGTTTCTCTTCATATCTGGATTATAGTGTGTAAATGTTTCTTCATATCTGGATTATAGTCTGTAAATGTTTCTCTTCATATCTGGATTATAGTCTGTAAATGTTTCTCTTCATCTCTGGATTATAGTGTGTAAATGTTTCTCTTCATATCTGGATTATAGTGTGTAAATGTTTCTCTTCATCTCTGGACTATAGTCTGTAAATGTTTCTCTTCATATCTGGATTATAGTCTGTAAATGTTTCTCTTCATATCTGGATTATAGTCTGTAAATGTTTCTCTTCATATCTGGATTATAGTCTGTAAATGTTTCTCTTCATATCTGGATTATAGTCTGTAAATGTTTCTCTTCATATCTGGACTATAGTGTGTAAATGTTTCTCTTCATATCTGGATTATAGTGTGTAAATGTTTCTCTTCATATCTGGATTATAGTCTGTAAATGTTTCTCTTCATATCTGGATTATAGTCTGTAAATGTTTCTCTTCATATCTGGATTATAGTCTGTAAATGTTTCTCTTCATATCTGGATTATAGTCTGTAAATGTTTCTCTTCATATCTGGACTATAGTGTGTAAATGTTTCTCTTCATATCTGGACTATAGTGTGTAAATGTTTCTCTTCATATCTGGACTATAGTCTGTAAATGTTTCTCTTCATATCTGGATTATAGTCTGTAAATGTTTCTCTTCATATCTGGATTATAGTCTGTAAATGTTTCTCTTCATATCTGGATTATAGTCTGTAAATGTTTCTCTTCATATCTGGATTATAGTCTGTAAATGTTTCTCTTCATATCTGGATTATAGTCTGTAAATGTTTCTCTTCATATCTGGATTATAGTGTGTAAATGTTTCTCTTCATCTCTGGATTATAGTCTGTAAATGTTTCTCTTCATATCTGGATTATAGTCTGTAAATGTTTCTCTTCATATCTGGATTATAGTCTGTAAATGTTTCTCTTCATATCTGGATTATAGTCTGTAAATGTTTCTCTTCATATCTGGATTATAGTGTGTAAATGTTTCTCTTCATCTCTGGATTATAGTGTGTAAATGTTTCTCTTCATCTCTGGACTATAGTCTGTAAATGTTTCTCTTCATATCTGGATTATAGTCTGTAAATGTTTCTCTTCATATCTGGATTATAGTGTGTAAATGTTTCTCTTCATATCTGGACTATAGTGTGTAAATGTTTCTCTTCATATCTGGATTATAGTCTGTAAATGTTTCTCTTCATATCTGGATTATAGTCTGTAAATGTTTCTCTTCATATCTGGATTATAGTCTGTAAATGTTTCTCTTTCACAGGAATGATCCACTGTAACAAGCTTATACTGCAGTTCAGACATGACGCCTTCAAACATTCATTTCCATACCGCTGTTTGTGTGGATGACAATGTGGAGACTTTCTTCCCGAAATGCACGGACCCAACGCTGAAAGAATATGTAAAATTAAATAAAAAGAAAGTAAGTGAATAAAGAAAGTTTCAGAGTTCAATTGAAAATACAGAGATAAACCAATCCCTGACTTGTAAGTTTTAGGCCAACAGAGTGCATTGGGACAGGGTTAGGATTACATTCAAGAACACCTGAAACTATCAGAGAAAACAGATAAAGCCTTTATCACACTGACTTTCCCAGGTTTAAGATAAAGCCTTTATCACACTGACTTTCACAGGTTTAAGATAAAGCCTTTATCACACTGACTTTCACAGGTTTAAGATAAAGCCTTTATCACACTGACTTTCACAGGTTTAAGATAAAGCCTTTATCACACTGACTGTCACAGGTTTAAGATAAAGCCTTTATCACACTGACTGTCACAGGTTTAAGATAAAGCCTTTATCACACTGACTTTCCAGGTTTAAGATAAAGCCTTTATCACACTGACTTTCACAGGTTTAAGATAAAGCCTTTATCACACTGACTTTCACAGGTTTAAGATAAAGCCTTTATCACACTGACTTTCACAGGTTTAAGATAAAGCCTTTATCACACTGACTGTCACAGGTTTAAGATAAAGCCTTTATCACACTGACTGTCACAGGTTTAAGATAAAGCCTTTATCACACTGACTTTCACAGGTTTAAGATAAAGCCTTTATCACACTGACTTTCACAGGTTTAAGATAAAGCCTTTATCACACTGACTTTCACAGGTTTAAGATAAAGCCTTTATCACACTGACTTTCACAGGTTTAAGATAAAGCCTTTATCACACTGACTTTCACAGGTTTAAGATAAAGCCTTTATCACACTGACTTTCACAGGTTTAAGATAAAGCCTTTATCACACTGACTTTCACAGGTTTAAGATAAAGCCTTTATCACACTGACTTTCACAGGTTTAAGATAAAGCCTTTATCACACTGACTTTCACAGGTTTAAGATAAAGCCTTTATCACACTGACTTTCACAGGTTTAAGATAAAGCCTTTATCACACTGACTTTCACAGGTTTAAGATAAAGCCTTTATCACACTGACTTTCACAGGTTTAAGATAAAGCCTTTATCACACTGACTTTCACAGGTTTAAGATAAAGCCTTTATCACACTGACTTTCACAGGTTTAAGATAAAGCCTTTATCACACTGACTTTCACAGGTTTAAGATAAAGCCTTTATCACACTGACTTTCACAGGTTTAAGATAAAGCCTTTATCACACTGACTTTCACAGGTTTAAGATAAAGCCTTTATCACACTGACTTTCACAGGTTTAAGATAAAGCCTTTATCACACTGACTTTCACAGGTTTAAGATAAAGCCTTTATCACACTGACTTTCACAGGTTTAAGATAAAGCCTTTATCACACTGACTTTCACAGGTTTAAGATAAAGCCTTTATCACACTGACTTTCACAGGTTTAAGATAAAGCCTTTATCACACTGACTTTCACAGGTTTAAGATAAAGCCTTTATCACACTGACTTTCACAGGTTTAAGATAAAGCCTTTATCACACTGACTTTCACAGGTTTAAGATAAAGCCTTTATCACACTGACTTTCACAGGTTTAAGATAAAGCCTTTATCACACTGACTTTCACAGGTTTAAGATAAAGCCTTTATCACACTGACTTTCACAGGTTTAAGATAAAGCCTTTATCACACTGACTTTCACAGGTTTAAGATAAAGCCTTTATCACACTGACTTTCACAGGTTTAAGATAAAGCCTTTATCACACTGACTTTCACAGGTTTAAGATAAAGCCTTTATCACACTGACTTTCACAGGTTTAAGATAAAGCCTTTATCACACTGACTTTCACAGGTTTAAGATAAAGCCTTTATCACACTGACTTTCACAGGTTTAAGATAAAGCCTTTATCACACTGACTTTCACAGGTTTAAGATAAAGCCTTTATCACACTGACTTTCACAGGTTTAAGATAAAGCCTTTATCACACTGACTTTCACAGGTTTAAGATAAAGCCTTTATCACACTGACTTTCACAGGTTTAAGATAAAGCCTTTATCACACTGACTTTCACAGGTTTAAGATAAAGCCTTTATCACACTGACTTTCACAGGTTTAAGATAAAGCCTTTATCACACTGACTTTCACAGGTTTAAGATAAAGCCTTTATCACACTGACTTTCACAGGTTTAAGATAAAGCCTTTATCACACTGACTTTCACAGGTTTAAGATAAAGCCTTTATCACACTGACTTTCACAGGTTTAAGATAAAGCCTTTATCACACTGACTTTCACAGGTTTAAGATAAAGCCTTTATCACACTGACTTTCACAGGTTTAAGATAAAGCCTTTATCACACTGACTTTCACAGGTTTAAGATAAAGCCTTTATCACACTGACTTTCACAGGTTTAAGATAAAGCCTTTATCACACTGACTTTCACAGGTTTAAGATAAAGCCTTTATCACACTGACTTTCACAGGTTTAAGATAAAGCCTTTATCACACTGACTTTCACAGGTTTAAGATAAAGCCTTTATCACACTGACTTTCCAGGTTTAAGATAAAGCCTTTATCACACTGACTTTCACAGGTTTAAGATAAAGCCTTTATCACACTGACTTTCACAGGTTTAAGATAAAGCCTTTATCACACTGACTTTCACAGGTTTAAGATAAAGCCTTTATCACACTGACTTTCACAGGTTTAAGATAAAGCCTTTATCACACTGACTTTCACAGGTTTAAGATAAAGCCTTTATCACACTGACTTTCCAGGTTTAAGATAAAGCCTTTATCACACTGACTTTCACAGGTTTAAGATAAAGCCTTTATCACACTGACTTTCCAGGTTTAAGATAAAGCCTTTATCACACTGACTTTCACAGGTTTAAGATAAAGCCTTTATCACACTGACTTTCACAGGTTTAAGATAAAGCCTTTATCACACTGACTTTCACAGGTTTAAGATAAAGCCTTTATCACACTGACTTTCACAGGTTTAAGATAAAGCCTTTATCACACTGACTTTCCAGGTTTAAGATAAAGCCTTTATCACACTGACTTTCACAGGTTTAAGATAAAGCCTTTATCACACTGACTTTCCAGGTTTAAGATAAAGCCTTTATCACACTGACTTTCCAGGTTTAAGATAAAGCCTTTATCACACTGACTTTCACAGGTTTAAGATAAAGCCTTTATCACACTGACTTTCACAGGTTTAAGATAAAGCCTTTATCACACTGACTTTCCAGGTTTAAGATAAAGCCTTTATCACACTGACTTTCACAGGTTTAAGATAAAGCCTTTATCACACTGACTTTCCAGGTTTAAGATAAAGCCTTTATCACACTGACTTTCACAGGTTTAAGATAAAGCCTTTATCACACTGACTTTCCAGGTTTAAGATAAAGCCTTTATCACACTGACTTTCCAGGTTTAAGATAAAGCCTTTATCACACTGACTTTCACAGGTTTAAGATAAAGCCTTTATCACACTGACTTTCACAGGTTTAAGATAAAGCCTTTATCACACTGACTTTCACAGGTTTAAGATAAAGCCTTTATCACACTGACTTTCACAGGTTTAAGATAAAGCCTTTATCACACTGACTTTCACAGGTTTAAGATAAAGCCTTTATCACACTGACTTTCACAGGTTTAAGATAAAGCCTTTATCACACTGACTTTCACAGGTTTAAGATAAAGCCTTTATCACACTGACTTTCACAGGTTTAAGATAAAGCCTTTATCACACTGACTTTCTCAGGTTTTCACATCATAATTCCTGAACCTCTCATTTTCTTCCCAAACTGTTGAAGCTTTGAGGAGTGAAGGATGATTGTAGGTGTTGTGTCTTTCTAATCCATGATGTTTCTAATCCATGATCTTTCTAATCCATGATCTTTCTAATCCATGATCTCTCTAATCCATGATCTTTCTAATCCATGATCTTTCTAATCCATGATCTTTCTAATCCATGATCTTTCTAATCCATGATCTTTCTAATCCATGATCTTTCTAATCCATAATCTTTCTAATCCATAATCTTTCTAATCCATGATCTTTCTAATCCATGATCTTTCTAATCCATGATCTTTCTAATCCATGATCTTTCTAATCCATGATCTTTCTAATCCATAATCTTTCTAATCCATAATCTTTCTAATCCATGATCTTTCTAATCCATTCCAGGCTTTGTCTCTGTGGGAATCACAGATCAACACCTTTGAACCTGGGAAACAAACACATGGACAATGACATTCATGATGTTTCATGTTGAAATAAATAATGTAAAATTATATAATCCACAATGTTCCTTTGATTGATTTTACAGGAAGGATGAAGGAATATTTCCATTAGTATATGCAAATTACAACACAAGCCATCTCTGAACTAATCATTTCATCTCTGGTTAGAACTGACAGATTCTGATCATCTAAACTACTCTTTTGGTTGGAAAAATATAGATTACTTTTACAGACCCCGTAATCTGCCGGTTGGTTTTTCCTCCAGAGACTGACCTACAAGGATCAAAAATATATTGTTCAAAGTTTCCTGAAATAACTACACACAGCTCAGCCTCTGTGTAGAAAACTATTATTTTTGCCTAGGCCCAAAGTTATGAATTAAAATGAACAGCCACCTCTTGTACTGCCTGTCTCATTGATAATATTATATTTTAAGAAAGTTTTGTCTTAACAAATTGTTTTTCTACAAGGCAACAACACTACACCCTGGCTTTTTAACGCACCTCAATGAATAAGGCAAACAATCATAATCCACTGACAAAAAATCACAACCAATACTAATGATAAATGCAGTGGAAATGGGAAGGACAGCGGTTAGGGTTAGGGTTGAAGCATGTGAAGGTGAAGCATGATATTTATGATCATTAAGGTGACGGTGATAATGGTATACATGCATCTATATTATAAAACAATGAGAAATATAAACTTCAATTAAATAAATCAATAGAATGGTGACCTGTTGTTATAAGTAATGACCGAACTTGGTATTTTGTAAATGGTTAAACTTAAATACTAATAATCGTTCGTACCTTTGTTATGATTACCCCTATTGGGGACCGCCTGCAGCTGGAACATAAATGCAGTTGAAGAGGGGGTAGGCACTTAGAAGCTTCGGCCTACTCCTTTTGAGGTAGTTCCTTTTCTTTTTCAATCCTTATTATTATTTTTATTTTTCAAAAATGTTAATGTAAATAATTGTAATAATGTACAAAGATGTGAATGTAAAACACAAATGGAAACTGTTCAAATAAACTAAACTAAACTAACACCAGGAACTTTTTGATCCAAAACAAAAACAGGTTTCCTGTGCCTCCATATCGATCATATTTACTCAGATACATGTACATATAATATTATATAGAACACTCGAAATGTGAAAGCAACTTTCAAAAGGTCCTCGCGGGAATCGAACCCAGTTTGTCCGAACTACAGCGCTCCGACATGTCCACTGGACCATACGTCCGTCTCTGCACTATCGCAGCCCAAAAAGCTTTATCTTATTAATAGTTCTGTATAAGTGAACAACACTACTGTTATGTGGTATTTATAATTAATCATTTTTTATATTCTATATGTTTTTACATGTATTATTATGGATCCATGATTTACAGTCTAAAACTAATTCAAAAGTAATACAATTTGAAGGGAGTAACGAGTTACTTCCGTATGATCTAGTGCCGTTTTTTTAACATAATTAATCTGAACATGTCAAAATGAACACCCGAAATATTATAAACACATATTAGTTATATATTCTGGATAGCAGCATATTACATTCTAGTACTACTTTTAACGTCTGTAACAGATGACGCCATGACGTTAGGTGAGTGTGCGTGGTTACGTAATGCGAACACACTTCCGCATTCCCGTGTGTGAAACTCACTAGACAAGCATGGATTTATTGGACTGAAGCCAGAAACTGCAGGTACCAAGTCCAGGACTAGACCCGGGACTGAGGCTGTAGGGACTGAGGCTGTAGACCCAGGACTGAGGCTGTAGACCCAGGACTGAGGCTGTAGACCCAGGACTGAGGCCGTAGATCCAGACCCAGGACTGAGGCTGTAGACCCAGGACTGAGGCTGTAGACCCAGGACTGAGGCCGTAGACCCAGGACTGAGGCCGTAGACCCAGGACTGAGGCCGTAGACTGAGGCCGTAGACCCAGGACTGAGGCCGTAGACTGAGGCCGTAGACCCAGGACTGAGGCCGTAGACTGAGGCCGTAGACCCAGGACTGAGGCCGTAGACCCAGGACTGAGGCCGTAGACCCAGGACTGAGGCTGTAGACCCAGGACTGAGGCTGTAGATCCAGGACTGAGGCCGTAGATCCAGGACTGAGGCCGTAGACCCAGGACTGAGGCCGTAGACCCAGGACTGAGGCCGTAGACCCAGGACTGAGGCTGTAGATCCAGGACTGAGGCCGTAGACCCAGGACTGAGGCTGTAGACCCAGGACTGAGGCTGTAGACCCAGGACTGAGGCTGTAGATCCAGGACTGAGGCTGTAGACCCAGGACTGAGGCTGTAGACCCAGGACTGAGGCTGTAGATCCAGGACTGAGGCTGTAGACCCAGGACTGAGGCTGTAGACCCAGGACTGAGGCTGTGAACTCTCTTTACAGGTGCAGGATTCAGGACCTGAGTTTGGACTCAGACTCAGATTCAGACCTGAACATGATCCTGGTCCTCATGGGCGTCTGCGGCTGCGGGAAGTACGGCTGAACCCGGACCGGACTGAACCCGGACCGGACTGAACCCGGACCGGACTGAACCCGGACCGGACTGAACCCGGACCGGACTGAACCCGGACCGGACTGAACCCGGACCGGACTGAACCCGGACCGGACTGAACCCGGACCGGACTAAACCCGGACCGGAGTGGACTAAACCCGGACTGAACCCGGACCGGACTAAACCCGGAGTGGACTAAACCCGGAGTGGACTAAACCCGGACCGGAGTGGACTAAACCCGGACCGGACTGAACCCGAACCGGACTAAACCCGGACCGGACTGAACCCGGACCGGACTGAACCCGGACCGGACTGAACCCGGACCGGACTGAACCCGGACCGGACTGAACCCGGACCGGACTGAACCCGGACCGGACTAAACCCGGACCGGAGTGGACTAAACCTGGACTGAACCCGGACCGGACTAAACCCGGAGTGGACTAAACCCGGACTGGACTAAACCCGGACCGGAGTGGACTAAACCCGGACCGGACTGAACCCGGAGTGGACTAAACCCGGACTGGACTAAACCCGGACTGAACCCGGACCGGACTAAACCCGGAGTGGACTAAACCCGGACTGAACCCGGACTGAACCTGGACTGAACCCGGACCTACATCCTCTGATGGAGCAGTGGATCTAATTTGAGCTTCTTCTGTTTCAGGAGTTCTTTAGGAGCTCTTCTCTCTGAGCAGGTACTGACTCACAGGGACCTGTAGATACTGACTCACAGGGACCTGTAGATACTGACTCACAGGGACCTGCAGATACTGACTCACAGGGACCTGCAGGTACTGACTCACAGGGACCTGTAGATACTGGCTCACAGGGACCTGTAGATACTGACTCACAGGGACCTGTAGATACTGACTCACAGGGACCTGTAGATACTGACTCACAGGGACCTGCAGATACTGACTCACAGGGACCTGTAGATACTGACTCACAGGGACCTGTAGATACTGACTCACAGGGACCTGTAGATACTGACTCACAGGGACCTGTAGATACTGACTCACAGGGACCTGTAGATACTGACTCACAGGGACCTGTTTATACTCACTCACAGGGACCTGTAGATACTGACTCACAGGGACCTGTAGGTACTGACTCACAGGGACCTGTAGATACTGACTCACAGGGACCTGTAGATACTGACTCACAGGGACCTGTAGATACTGACTCACAGGGACCTGCAGATACTGACTCACAGGGACCTGTAGATACTGACTCACAGGGACCTGTAGATACTGACTCACAGGGACCTGTAGATACTGACTCACAGGGACCTGTTTATACTGACTCACAGGGACCTGTAGATACTGACTCACAGGGACCTGCAGATACTGACTCACAGGGACCTGTAGATACTGACTCACAGGGACCTGCAGATACTGACTCACAGGGACCTGCAGGTACTGACTCACAGGGACCTGTAGATACTGACTCACAGGGACCTGTAGGTACTGACTCACAGGGACCTGCAGATACTGACTCACAGGGACCTGTAGATACTGACTCACAGGGACCTGCAGGTACTGACTCACAGGGACCTGTAGATACTGACTCACAGGGACCTGCAGGTACTGACTCACAGGGACCTGTAGATACTGACTCACAGGGACCTGTAGATACTGACTCACAGGGACCTGTAGATACTGACTCACAGGGACCTGTAGATACTGACTCACAGGGACCTGTAGGTACTGACTCACAGGGACCTGCAGATACTGACTCACAGGGACCTGTAGATACTGACTCACAGGGACCTGCAGATACTGACTCACAGGGACCTGTAGATACTGACTCACAGGGACCTGTAGATACTGACTCACAGGGACCTGCAGATACTGACTCACAGGGACCTGTAGGTACTGACTCACAGGGACCTGTAGATACTGACTCACAGGGACCTGTAGATACTGACTCACAGGGACCTGCAGGTACTGACTCACAGGGACCTGCAGATACTGACTCACAGGGACCTGTAGATACTGACTCACAGGGACCTGCAGATACTGACTCACAGGGACCTGCAGATACTGACTCACAGGGACCTGTAGATACTGACTCACAGGGACCTGTAGATACTGACTCACAGGGACCTGTAGATACTGACTCACAGGGACCTGTAGATACTGACTCACAGGGACCTGTAGATACTGACTCACAGGGACCTGCAGATACTGACTCACAGGGACCTGTAGATACTGACTCACAGGGACCTGTAGATACTGACTCACAGGGACCTGCAGATACTGACTCACAGGGACCTGTAGGTACTGACTCACAGGGACCTGTAGATACTGACTCACAGGGACCTGTAGATACTGACTCACAGGGACCTGTAGATACTGACTCACAGGGACCTGTAGATACTGACTCACAGGGACCTGTAGATACTGACTCACAGGGACCTGTAGATACTGACTCACAGGGACCTGTAGATACTGACTCACAGGGACCTGCAGATACTGACTCACAGGGACCTTTAGATACTGACTCACAGGGACCTGCAGATACTGACTCACAGGGACCTGTAGATACTGACTCACAGGGACATACTGACTCACAGGGACCTGTAGATACTGACTCACAGGGACATACTGACTCACAGGGACCTGTAGATACTGACTCACAGGGACATACTGACTCACAGGGACATACTGACTCACAGGGACATACTGACTCACAGGGACATACTGACTCACAGGGACCTGCAGATACTGACTCACAGGGACATACTGACTCACAGGGACCTGTAGATACTGACTCACAGGGACCTGCAGATACTGACTCACAGGGACCTGCAGATACTGACTCACAGGGACATACTGACTCACAGGGACCTGTAGATACTGACTCACAGGGACATACTGACTCACAGGGACCTGCAGATACTGACTCACAGGGACATACTGACTCACAGGGACCTGCAGATACTGACTCACAGGGACATACTGACTCACAGGGACATACTGACTCACAGGGACCTGCAGATACTGACTCACAGGGACCTGCAGATACTGACTCACAGGGACATACTGACTCACAGGGACCTGTAGATACTGACTCACAGGGACCTGTAGATACTGACTCACAGGGACCTGCAGATACTGACTCACAGGGACATACTGACTCACAGGGACCTGTAGATACTGACTCACAGGGACCTGTAGATACTGACTCACAGGGACCTGTAGATACTGACTCACAGGGACCTGTAGATACTGACTCACAGGGACCTGCAGATACTGACTCACAGGGACCTGTAGATACTGACTCACAGGGACATACTGTGTAACAGACCCAGGTCCTGGGCCTGTTTGAGCAGATTAATAAATGTTCCTGAAAAATACAGGATAAGGATGAGTCAGGCGGACACGGTGTTTCCTCTTGTCTCGCTTCAGCCATATTTATTAATACAATCATGTGTTTTCATCCTTCAACATTTACAAATGCTATTCACACAATCATGTATAATAATAATCACATTTCAATCATTTAATCATGTACAGTAAATGTCTAAATTACCCTTGACACTGTATCTAGTCAATTATATACTTTTTATCTATTTATTTTGTCTGTATTTAATATACATATATCATATCTTATTCATAATGTAGCTGTACTACTTTTTTAAACTACTACTTATGTACCACTACTAGCTTAGCAGCTCCTGAGCTACGAATACTGGCTTTAACTTCAGCTGGAGACCTTTTTAACTGTAATTATTCAAACCTACAAACATTAACTTCGAATGTACACACAACAAACTATGTCAGGGCACGTAAAATTCAGTATCACTATCTAAATCGGAGCTTGAAAAATAAAATACGAGACACATAAGATGGCGGCCGTTACTTCGCCTTGACCAGTTCCTTGTCTTTTCCGTTACCACACAAAACTTGACAAAACTACAGAAAAAACTCATTTAAAACATTCTAACAGTTAGCTGTTACCGTTATAAGTATGTTCTGACCCATACATTGTGCTTGTGACATTAGTACGAACCTGAAAAATACAGGATAAGGATGAGTCAGGCGGACACGGTGTTTCCTCTTGTCTCGCTTCAGCCATATTGGTGAAGGAGCGCCACTGACCTCATTACACCTGCTCACCATACACCACCTGCTGGCTTCAGGGTGTTACTACAACGTAAACGTCCTTGTTATGAAACAAGACTTATCTAAATACTAAATACAATTAAACATAATGTGACAACACATTACTGGGTGTCACACGCTCCCTGACAAATAAAAATGGCTCCTGACATTACAAAATACAAAAATCAAACACTTTACAACTCAAAATCTTAGTCACCATAACATGGGTGTGGCATAAGTCTGTGGGGCAAAAGTATGCGGGATATTAGGCACAAAACCAGCACCAAATGGAAAATAAGGTGTGGCTACCCATGGCTGATACGGCATGTACGGTGAGAGGGTGGAAACCATGGCTTGTGGTTGAAGGGTAGGTTCACCAAGTGACTGGTAGGTAAACACTTGCCTCGGTCTCCTTTCTCTATTTGACCTCCTTACTTCAGTCTGTAGGTCAACTGGTGTCTGTGGAAGTTCTGGAGGTATGAAAACATTACCTTCTTCACTTCCTTCTCCAGAGTGAGCTGGTGGGGCTGATACCACAGGGGCGGGGGTCACCTGTGGCACATGGCTGTCTCTTTCAGTCTGTAAGTGTCCTTCTGGCGCACTGGTTCCATCACTGTCTCTTACTGGCAACAGAAAGCGGTTACTCGTGTTCTCAGGGGCTTGGCTTGTCTGGGGCAAGTCAGGCTGGCTAAAGTCAGTACCCCTGCCTACTTGACCAGTCGGTCTAAGAGGAAACCTCAACCAATAACCCCCTGTACTCTCGTCAGAGTCTGAGTCGCTAGAGTTACTGTTATGCATGTCTTTTCTACTAGACTTTTTCTGTCTTGTCTGTCTTTTGGATGTGGGTTCGGGCCTAATAGGCGGGGTTTCTACTGGGAGATCATTAACCAGTAACAAGAGGTTACGATGGAGGACTCTAGTCTTACTCCCATCACTATTCTCATGGTAAACTGCATATACCGGGTTGTCACCTACTTGTTCTTTAACCAAATAAATGTTTTTCTCCCAGAAAGAACGTAATTTCCCCGGCCCCCCTCGTTCACTAAAGTTTCTAACGAGGACTCTATCTCCAGGCTCCAATACAACACCTTTTAACTTTTTGTCATAGTAGGACTTGCTTCTGGCACTAGACTGTTTACTTTTCTCACTGGCTATCTTGTACGCCTCTGTCATTTTTGTAGCCCACTTATCTGCATAGCTCTTGTGTGACACTGTCTGTTTGTCCCCAACTAAACCAAATAAACAGTCAACTGGGAGACGTGGGTGGTGTCCATAAAGCAAAAAGTAAGGGGAAAACCCTGTGGATTCATGCCGCGTACAATTGTAAGCGTGAACTACATGTTGTAAATGATCTTTCCAGTGTTCCTTCTGCTTCTCACCTAATGTCCTTAACATCTGCAGAAGTGTCCTATTAAACCGCTCAGCTGGATTACCTTGCGGATGATACGGTGATGTTCTCGAGTGTCCAGTCCCAGACTTCTCCCTCAGAGTCTTGAAGAGTTCATTTTCAAACTCGCGACCTTGGTCGTGGTGTAGTCGCGCCGGGTATCCAAAGCGTGGGATGAAGTCTCCAAAGATGCGTTCCGCTGCCGTCTTCCCAGCTTTGTTTTTGGTTGGATACGCCTGGGCATACCGAGTGAAGTGGTCTACGACGACAAGGATATACTCATATCCCCCTCTGCTGGGCTCTAGATGAAGATAGTCGATGCAGACCAGGTCCAACGGTGAATTTGATGTGATGGAGCCCATGGGAGCACGGACGGGCGCTGTTGGTTTCTTGCTGATAATACATGGGCATCTTCTTGTGACATAGTACTCAATTTCATTTTTCATGTATGGCCAATAGAATCTATCTCTTGCCAGAGCTAGTACTCTCTCTGTGCCAATATGTCCCATATTGTCGTGCAGATGTTTTAACACAATGTCTTTGTACTTGGCAGGGAGGACTATTGGCGAGGACAAGGGCAGCAACATACGCAACCTCACTGTCCTGAGCAGCTCTAGCGCCATTCCATGTGGCTTTGAATCACGTGGGGTGATAGTTCCTCAGTACACTCATGTACATACTTGTCAATATTCAGAGGCAGACGGGACAACGTGTCAGCGTCCACATTTGTCTTTCCGGGTCTGTACTTTATCTCAAAACGAAAGTCGGGACAGTTCCCCAACCCAGCGATGTCCCACAGCGTTTAGCTTGGCTGTGCTCATTACATAAGTTAATGGGTTATTGTCAGTATATATCGTGAAATAAGGGGCATAGTACAGGTAGTCTCTGAAACGCTCACACACTGCCCATTTGAGTGCAAGGAATTCCAATTTGCCACTGTGGAGACGATAGTTTCTTTCGGCTGGTGTGAGTGTCCTAGACCCATACCCGATGACTCTTAGCTTCCCGTTCTGGCTGCTGATACAGAACAGCACCCAAGCCCTGTTCCGAGGCATCTGTGTGGAGACAGAAGGGTAAGTTAAAATCCGGATAGGCCAAGACTGGAGGACTGATGAGCATGTCGATTAATTGTTCTAATACTTGCTGGATGCTCATTAGTCCACTCAACAGGGGCCTTGGATGACAACTGAGGACCTTTTGTCTTTGCTTGACAGGACTGGTGAGTTGACACGCCTGGTTTTGAGTTTCAACAGTTCATATACAGGTTTTGCAATGCGCGAAAAGTCTTGTACATAGCTACGATAATAACTCAGAAAACCTAGTAGGCGCCTTACATCACCATCAACTGTCGGTGGTGTCTTTGTTTTTAGTGACTGAACAGCCTCTAAGTCCTTAGGGTCTATTCGCACACCCTCTGCTGATACAAGGCGCAACCTACATATCTCACTTCTCTGCGAAACAGTTCACATTTTTCAGGTCTCAACTTTACACCATGTCTTTGGAGTGCTCTCAAAACTTGTCTAACACCCTCGACATGTTCTTCAAATGTTGGTGCATAACACAAGATATCGTCCAAGTATGGAATACAACAGCTGTCTCTGAGCGAACATAACATTTCCTCCATACTTCTCTGAAAGGCGGCTGGTGCGTTTGAGAGGCCAAAAGGTATTCGTACCCACTCGTAAAGCCCCCAGGGAGTGACGAAGGCTGTGAGGTGACGTGAGCCTTCTGCCATGAATCCCTGGTGGTACGCCTTGCCCTGATCGAGGATACTGAACCAGGAGTGCCCCCCTAAAGTGTCTGTCAGATCTTGGATTCGTGGGAGAGGGTGCTTGTCCCTGGTTTGTTTTCTGGTTCAGTAAACGGTAGTCTATGCAAAGGCGCAATGAGCCGTCCTTTTTGCGGACGCACACGACAGGAGCTGCATATGGAGATTTTGACTTTACAATCCACCCTTTAGCGAGGAGATCTGTATGTATGTATTCTTTCACTTCGGAAAACAAAGGCTTCGGCACAGACGAGTAAGCTCTTTGTACAGGGATGTCGTCTTTGAGGCATAGTGACATTTGTAAACTTGGGATGCAGCCGATGTCATTAGTGTCCTTAGCAAAAGCTCCTGACTCCTCAAATAACATCTTTTCTACAGTCTCTTGTGGTCTTTCTCAAGTTGACTTAGATCTACAGGTGGTTGCCACAAAGTTAGTGAAGGTTTTTATCTCAACTTTTGCAATAGTGGCTGTATATCCCTCAGCCTCAACATCATCTAGTAAATCTGTCTCAATCACTTTCTTTATTGGCTGAATACTACCTATAGCAGACTTTCTTGCTAAGATAATATCATGTTTTGTGTGATTTTCAAGTGGCACAGTTACAAAGGGTACTTTGCCGGGTTGGATCTCAAGGAGTCCTTCGCCTAGCCCTAACTCTTGTAACTGAACATAACTCTCTTCTGGCTCAAACAGGACTAATTTCTCACTGGGGTCAAGCTGAGGTGGGACTTTACACCTTACCCAGGTAGTACTGCTGCAGGGATAACTGTCTCTTTGTACCCTAACCTTAAGCGACCCTGGGCAGCGTTCACTTTACGAGTTTGAATAAATTGCACCATACCCTGTGCATCGTCTTCTGGAATGGACAATGCTCCCCCAAGTAACTTAGCTAAATTACAAGCTGCCTGCTCTGGGCTACCTTGAATGAGTACCTCCACTACATTGAAACCTATTAGTGGCGTTTCTAACGGCTGCGAACTGACTAGGAAAGGTACATTTAGTGAGAGCCTTGGATCTTCATTACCTGGTAAGTTCACTGTTAAGATAACCCACCCATCAAAAGGTAAACACCCACGTTCCCCATTAACAGCATAGATTATAGGCGCTGACTCAAACTGCATTAACTCCATCAGTTCTGATATAGGGCGGACACTAACATCTGGAATGTACTTGCCCGAAGGGATGGGAGGGCCGGAGGGACTTCAAACGGGCCGGGAACTCCAAGATACCCAGGGACATCTGGAAGAAGCGGTACTATCAGACGAACGACCGAACGCCGACTAGAGCACACCAGGACCCAGGAACCGCCGGAGGCGCACGGCAGGAGCAGCCCCAAGCAATACCTATAAACCAGGGATAGCACCCCGAAGCGAAGCAGAAGCACACGATCCCCCCACAACCAGGAAAGCACCCCCCGAAAGCGGATTAGAACCAACACAGCGCGCACAGAGCAGGGTGGACAGTGCAAAGAGACCAAGGACAGCAGAAAGGGAAACCGAGGCCACAACCCACACCACCACTCAAAGATACGCAGGGAGTCCAACCAGGCACACCAGACCCGCCAGCACCAGCGATGGAAGGCGGAAGGCAGAGGGAAGAGGGGAAACCCTGGAAAAAAACGACAGCTGCACGCACAGCAGGGCAGAACAGTCAGGCGATCGACGAAACGACCCAAACACAGGACGAAGGCGGCGTGAGCACAGCCGCCCGGGGGACGGGGGGGAGCCCAGGAATCGGAGAAAAAGAAAAACCAGAAATCAGGGGCACGAGCACAACAGAGGGGCGCGAACCCCACACAGGAGACCAAAGCACGCGAAAGAAACCAAACAAGGAACACGAGACCGGATCCAAGGAGCAGACACACAACAACAGTAACGTACGCAGAAACGCACACAGGATAAAGGAAGACCATCGGCCAGAAAGGCAACTAAGAGAATTCAGCAAGGCACCAACGGACCCCCCAAACAACACAGGGCAAGGAGGTAGCACCGACGCGAGGACCGACCCCCTAATCTACTCCTTCCACGAGGGACCCACCCCGACCGTGCCGGCACACCGGGAGGCCGACGGGCAGCGCACGCCAGGAAGCCGGGCAGCGACGTACAGCATACAGCAGCCGAGAACGGTGGGCACAGAGGGCACCGACGCTGCGCGCAACAGGCGAACAGCGATCATCGGAACCTCGGCACCCCGACGGCCCCCCAAGGAGCCTCCAACGAAGCGGCTGGGATCTACGTAAGCCCGCGGCAACGACCCGGGGGGGGCCAGCGGACGGGGTGAAGCAGCGTGGGCATACCGCGGGCGACACCAGGCCAAAGGCAAAGACGAATGTATCTCCCAGGCGGCACCTCCACTCCACAGCATCCGCTCGCCATCTCCACATCACACTACAGCCCCACGCGTCTGGGAGAGAGAAACGCGCGCAAGGCTGGGCAAAGAAGAGTCGGCACACGTCGCCCCAGTACGGCACCCAGCCAGAACACAACGTGCCAGGCGGCCGTCAACAACTCCCCCGCCACCGCAAACGCCCGGCGCCAAAACCCCGGCAGGACCGCCCAACCCCGCAGGCGCGGCAGACGAACGCCCGAGTAAAGTTGGAGGCACCTGAACCACACCGTAAGCAGCACCGGGGGGCAACACCGTCTGGCGGGCCACGGCTCTCGAGCGGACGAACCCCGACTACAAAGCCACGTAGCAGCCGATGACGCGCGGCAAACTACTAGAACGTGCCCCGACCCTCAGCCCACACCCACAGGGAGCTACGCTCACCTCGCACACAAACACTAAACCCCCGTCACCCCGAGACTATGCCCGGGACCACCGCGGGAGACGGAGAGGCCCACCCGTACGGGCCTCACGCGGGAGCCACGCGCAACAAGCACCCCTCAGCCACAGAGGAAAATAGGTCCAAGCGAGCGCCGACCGCTCCAGTGCCTGCTCCACGTCCCGAACGGGGGCACAACCGGGGGCGCCGGAAGCGTGCCGAACGTTGACACTCCAAGGCCCCGCAGCAACACGTGGGCCCGTGAGGTGCGGCCCCGAACTGGCGAGGCGCGGCCGAACGCAAGGGGGGGCAAGAGGGAAAAGAGAACTTGAGAAAACAATTAAAGAACTAATAAACGCAAAAAAGCGGGCGAGAAAGTAGGAAGGAATAGGAGGAAGAAAGCGATACAGCGAAAAAGTGCACAGAAGAAAAGAGAAGACAGACTAGGGACGAGTGAGGGAAGACGAGAAAGAGGCGAAAGGCCAGCAGATAGAAAGAATACCGTAGGAGGGGGGGGGACACGAAACACAGCTAGGAGTCGAACGGAAGGGAGACGACAAAGGGGAACAAAACGCCCGAGTGCCGGCGACAAAGACAAAGAAAAGAACAAACAAAGGCTAAAAAGAAGGCATAAAAAAAAACCAAGAAGCAGAGGGCGGAAGGAAATCAAAAGAAGAGAAGGATAAAAGCATTTAAGATAACACCCGATGACCACAGTAATAAACCGGCGCAAGATAGACACACCAAACGACACAAAACAACCCGAAGATAACAGCAAAAAATAAAAACAACCGTCAGAAGAACAGGAGGAGTAGAGCTCGGACAGCGCATAGCAAAGGAAGAGGGAGGCGGACGCATTAGTCAGAAAAGAGAAGGAGAAAACGAGGCAAGATGGCACAGCGACAACGAGGAAAGGCCTCGGAGAGTACAAAAAAGCGAGAAGACGATAGAGTACGCGACAGAAATACAGGGCATCCAAGAAAAGAAGGGGAATAAACGAAACAAAGGGAGGGGGAACGGAAAGAAGATCAACAAAAAAGGAAAAGTAGAAGAAAAACGAACAAAACGAGGAAAACAGAGAACAAGACCAACAATAAACCACCACAACGCAAGGGGGAGCCGGAGCACAGGACGGAGATGTGGCTAAGGAGGGTCGGAAGGAAAAAAAGGGGATGGGGGCGGGCGCGAGAGAAACAACGGAAAAAGACGCAGAATAACGGACAAAAGCAGAAGGATAAGGGGAAAATAACAAGCTCAAAAAGAAAGATGAAAGACGGAAGGGGCGGCAGAGGTAGCGAGGGAAAAAAGGGAAGATAGGAAGGCGAGTGGGAATAATAGGATAGACATGTGTAATTAAAAGAGGATACAAAACCAAAAAGGGAAGGAGATAAAGAGCGAGAGGGCGAAATAAGGGGAGACAGGAAAGACGAAGCCAACTCGGGGCAACGAAGCAAGGAGAGGACCGGGGGAGAGAGGGAAGGAAAGGGAAGCAAGAAAAGAATCGCAAAAAAAGAGGGACGCCAGAGGGGGGCGAGAAAAAAGGCGATATACCAAAGAACTACAGAGACAACCAGAGAGTGGGCAAGGGAGGCTAGCTTGAGCGGATGAAAGGAAAACAGGAAAAGGGCGAGAAATGGCAGAAGGGGGGGTAGGGAGGATGAGCGAGGAAGAAGGAGGAGAAACGGCAAGGGAGATAAAAAAAGAGGAGCATAGTTAAGAGATAGAAGAAGGGAAAGGGCGCGGTGGTAATAAAGGCGAGGGGGATAAAGAATGGGGCGAGAGGGGAGGAAGAGAGATGAGTATAGGAAGGAGAAAAAGATGCAGGATATCAGTAACCAGAGGGCTAGCCAGGGAGGAGGGAGAGAGAGGTTGGGAAAAAAAGGGTAAGCAGGGAGGAAACACAAAGAGTAAAAGAAGCAGGGCGAGAGGGAGATGGGGGGGGGGTGACGCTGAGAGGGGGCGGAGTAGGAGTGTGGAGTGCACCTCGAGGTAGGTGGGTGGGGGGGGCGAGGAAGGAGAATAGATGGGCGGCGGGTGTGGCAGGGGAGAGTACGAAGAACTTGAATAGTAGCGGAGGGTGAAGAGTGAGGGTCGTCTGAAGTAACAGAAGGAACGGGGGGAGGGAACCGTAAAGAGTAAGGAAGGGAAAGAAGCAGAGGCGTCGAAGACCTGCTAAGGGGGCAGGGAGAAAGCGGGAAAAGAGAAAAGCGGGAAAGAAGGAAGCACGGCAAAACAACAGGATGAAGAGAGAGGGAAGCAGCGCAGAATACGCTGCACGAGAGTGGGATTGGAGGGGAGGAGGAGGAAAGACGAGGACAGTGACAGTTTATGGAGGGACCTTTGTGCAAAAGGCAGAGGAGGCGAGGAACACTGGGTACGATAAGGGTGAAACATACGGAGATAGAAGACGAGGAGGCAAGCAAGGTCATCGAACCAGAAGGGACAGAGACGGGCACGGAAGCAGAGAAGGCCGTGACGGGCGGCACGAACAAATAGAGACAGAAGAGAAGCAAGATAGAAAGAGGAGGTAAGGAACATAAGTAGTATCGTAGAGAGAGAGAGATACGGAGGGGTGAGGCTGAAGAAGGGGAAGGGGAAGAAGGAAGACGGGCAAGAAATGAGACTCATAAGGCTAAGAAGAAAGAAGTGAGGGGAAGAAAGGCGGCGGAGGGAGAGGGAAAGCAGAGAGGCAACCGAAAAGAGAAGGAGAGGGGAACAGGAAAGCGGAGGGAAGTGAAGAAAGAAAGGACTCGAGCGAAGCCCAGGGTGATGATAGGGGAAGAGAAGCTGGAAACTGGAGGAGCTGAGAGAGGAGGCAGTGGGCGGGTGACAGCAGCCGGGAAGACACGAAAGCGAGAGAAGTAGAAAAGCGGGAGTTAAAGAATAAAGGATGAACTGGGGAATTTAGAAGAAGGAGAGCTGGACAATCAAAAATTAGAAAAAAGGCAGAGAATGAAGAAAAAGGGAGAAAAGCAAAGAAGTTAGGAGGGAAACGGTAGGGATAAAAAGAGTTAAAGCGGGGGAGGGAAGAAAAAGGGGAGTAGAAGGTAAAGTGGGTGGAAGTAGGGAAAGGAGGTAGAGAGAAAAAAAGTAGGTAGAAAAGGGGGGGAAGGAGACACTGAAAAGGAGAAGGTGGGGGAGAGTTAGTGCAGGAAGAGAGGACGAGGGTGCATCAAAGAAGGAAAAAAGAAAGTAAGCAAAGGGCGAAGAGGGCAGGGCGGGTGTGAGAGTATGGGAGAAGGTAGGAATAGCATCCCACGGACAGGAAAAGACGGTAGAAAGGTAAGTTACGGGAAGGCAGAGAATCGTGAGTGCGGGGGCGAATGGAGAGAGAAAGGTGGGAGGGGAGCAGGCGGTGGAGACGAAGGTGAGAGACAGGAAGATGAGAGAACAGAGCTTCAAAAAACGAGGAAGAAGGATTGTTAAAATATACCGGCACAGAGAAAAGTGGAAGGAAGAGTACGAGGGGAGAAAAGAGGAAGAGGGCACGGGAAGGGTAGAGAAGGGATATGAATAAAAAAGGAGGTGGGAGAATTGAGAAAGGGGGGGAGTAGGGTAATCAAGAGGGGGGGGTGACTGGAAAGGGAAATGAGGAATAGAATCGAGGAGAGTAATGAAGAAGTTCATTTTAAGAATAAGGAAGAGGAAAGGGAGAGAAGCGATGTGTGAGAAGGTGGGGGGGGGTCGGAGGGACGGAATGGGAAAGCAGAGAGAATAAGGGATTCAAGGAAGAAACAGGTGCCAGCGGGTAAGGAGGGCTTATTTAGGGGAGGGAGGAGGGAAGTGACTCAGGGCCGGGGCTGACAAGGAAGTAAGCAACGAAAAAAGAAAAGCGTCGGGCAGTTTGGAAGGGTCCGAGAAGCCAGAGAAAAGAAGAGAAGATCCTCAGCGGGGGAAGAGCGGAGCGAAGCAGGAAGCAGAGACCTGCCGCCGTCTCGCCGCTTTCTTCACAAATCCCTCCTCCTCCTCCTCCTCTTCCTCTTCCTCCACTCTTCCTCCTTCCTCTCCCTCTTCTCTCCTCCTCTTCTTCTCCTCTCTCTCTTTCTCTCTCCTCCTCTTCTCTCTCTCCTTCTCTCTCCTTCTCCTCTCCTCCTCTCTCTTCTCTCTCCTTTCTCTCCTCTCTCCTCCTCTCTCCTTCTCTCTCCCTCTTCTCTCCTCTCTCTCCTCTCACTCCTCCTCTCCTCTCCTTCTCCTCTCTCCTCTCTCCTTCTTCTCTCTTCTCTTCCTTCTCTCTCCTTCTTCTCTCCTCCTCTCTCCTCCTCCTCTCCTTCCTCCTCTCTCCTTCTCTCTCTACCCTCTCTCCTCCTCTCTCCTTCTTCTCCTTCTGCTCTCCTCTCTCTCCTTCTCTCTCCTCCTCCATCCTCCTCTCTCCTCCCTCTCCTCCTCTCTCCTCCTCCTCTCTCCTTCTCTCTCCTCCTCTCTCCTCCTCTCTCTTCCTCTCTTCCTCCTCTCTCCCTCTCTCTCCTTCTCTCTCCTCCTCTCTCTTCCTCTCCCTCCTCTCTCTTCTCTCTCCTCCTTTCTCTCCTCCTCTCTCCTCCTCTCTCCTTCTCTCTCCTCTCTCTCTCCTCCTCTCTCTCTTCCTCTCTCTCTCTTCTCTCTCCTTCTCTCTCCTCCTCTCTCCTTCCTCCTCTCCTCTCTCTTCCTTCTCTCTCCTCCTCTCTCATCCTCTCTCTTCCATCTCTCCTCCTCTCTCCTCCTCTCCTTCTCTCTCCTCCTCTCTCCTCTCTCCTCTCTCTTCTCTCTCCTCCTCTCCTTCTCTCCTCCTCCTCTCTCCTCTCTCCTTCTCTCTCCTCCTCTCTACCCTCTCTCCTCTCCTCCTCTCTCCTCCTCTCGGTGGTGTTCCATAAGATGTCTCCTAATGAGACCCACTTCCTGCAGAGCACCAGCACAGTTTATAAAGACGACATCTCCAGCACCAGCTTCATGCAGTTCCAGATCTGGGACTTCCCTGGTCACCCAGACCCAGACCCAGACCCAGACCCAGACTCAGACCCAGACCCAGACCCAGACTCAGACCCAGACCCAGACCCAGACCCAGACTCAGACCCAGCCTCAGACCCAATCTTGGACTACAAGAGGATGTTACTGGTTCAAGGACACTTGACTTACTGTGGGTTATTTTTAGAACACATCACCCCTGCCATAAACCAGGGACCAGTGTGTAACAATCAGCTTGTGTCCACAGACCAGTAACCACACTCTCTCCTCATTCATGTTTATGTCGCTGGT